GGGGGGATGTGAACCCGCTCTGCCCGCGTGGGGGGGGGGGGGGGGAAAAAAAAAAAAAATTATTACAAGCCGAGAAGCCAAAGGCGGCCGTTCCATCCCCAGCAGAAGGCGAGGGGCGCGGGAGGGGCGTGCCGCCGTGCCCCGGGGCTGCGGCAGGCGAGGCGCGGCCCCTGCGGCAGCGCTGCCGCCCGTGCAGGTGCGGCGGGAGCGGCCGCGGACCGAGCGATGCAGAGAGCGCGATTTTGGGGCGGGGGTGTGTGTGTGTGTCTCTACCCCGTTTTCGCCCCCTTTTTTTTCCCCCGGCAGGTGGGGCCGGGGCTGCGGCAGCAGCGGGGCCATGTTCTGCAGCCGCCCCGGGGGTGTGGGGGGGGAGCGGCGGTGGTTAAAGACGATAAATTAATTAATAATGGGGACAGCGCAAGGAAGAAGCGTTTGGAAGGGAAGGAGCTGTCCACGCCCAGCACGGGATTTTGTGGGGGGGAAGCGTTATTGAGGTCACGGCACCCCGGAGTTGCCCGGCTTTGTTGCACCCCCCCGAGTGCCCAGTTGAAGGGTTTGGGGTTTAACGTGAGCGAGGTGGGTCCCATCCTGTTGAATCCCGGGTGTTTTCCAGCCGGGATGGGGATGCTGGTGCCCAGCCCCGTGGGTTTGGGGCTGGGGTGGTGCTGCTTGGTGTAACTGGTGGTCCCTGAATGTGCCTTGCACCTCCCGAGCATTCCAGTGCCATGCTGGGGTTGTTCCTTGTCCTGCTGGAATTTCCCCCTTGTCCCTTCCATCTGCCTCTTCCCATGCTGCCTCTTCTTTCTTGTCCCAAAATCCCACCAGACAGGGTGTGGGGCTTGCCCCCCTTTCTGAATTTTGCCTATTTTTTCCCCACCTGTAGTTGTTGGCTATTTCTTTGTTTTAAGCCCAACTTAGATGGTAAAAGGGAAGTTTCCTCGCCAGGTGTTTCCAGGGGTGCACACCTGCCCTCCTGCCTCGGAGCAATTAAACCTGCAAGGAGCTGAAACAGCTCATTTCGGGTGAGGGATGGAGATTTCTCCCTGCATCCCTGCCTGCCACATTAGCACAGGGGAGGATTCGCTTGGGGGGAGATGATTTTTTCCTGGTTTTTTTTCAACACCTGGAAACGCAATCCTGTTGTTGCTCGCAGAGGGCAGCTGCCATCACTTTAAAGGGAGTTTCTCCTTCCATTTGCTGTGGTACCACCACACGAGGTGCAGCTCCATTTGCAGCGAGAGGCTGGTCTTGCCTGGAAACGGGCTGGCTGGAAGGAGCAGCTGAGATGAGCTAAGCTGTCACTGCCACGATTTGTATGCAGCGTGTTCCTGAGCTTCCCCGGCGTGGATCTGGGCAGATGTTGGACGCGTGTCTGAATCAGTGGAACAAAATTCACTACTGAGAATCGTTAATTTGTTCTGTGGAGCGATGGCTGCCTGCTTATGTCCGTGGAAGGGGTTTTGGCTGTGCTGCCACTGCCTCAGATTTGGGGTGTTTGATGGCTTTCCTTGTGTTCAGGTGTTTTGGCATTTTTTCTCTTGAGGTGGTCAGTCAAATCAGGTCTCAGTTGGGCGTTTACAGCCTGCTCTTGAGAGAAGGAAAATGAAAACCTCGTTCTCTCTAGAAGTGAGAAATTGTCTAACCCAGTTATGCATTGTTCCCCCTCGATATGCAAAATGCTTGTTTTTTACCCCAAGATGTGCAGCTTAAGGAGAAAAGCAAAGTGCTGGTTGATTTACATGTAATGTATAAAGATTTTGATCATAGAATGGTTTGGGTTGGAAGGGACCTTAAAGACCCTCTTGTTCCACCCCCCTGCCATGGGCAGGGACACCTTCCGCTAGCTCAGGTTGCTCCAAGCCCTGTCCAGCCTGGCCTTGGACACTTCCAGGGATGGGGCAGCCACTGACAGATAATTCCCACCTGATAAAAGTATTGCATTTTCTCATTCTTTGGAATGGGGTTTGTTTTTTGAGACCCAGCTCTTGTCCTCTGGGGAAACGTGATGCCCATCTCACAGATGGTATCACAGATCAGACAGGGATGTTTATCCTTCATTAGCTGGGATTAACTGAGGACAGAAGTGATGGGACCTCTGTGTGTCCTGTGGGGAGTTCCCAAGAGGAAGAGATGGGTCCAGTCCCTTCAGGTCACAAGTGCAACAGTACAGGTTTTGTGTCCCTCCCTCATTACTTACCCTTTTCAAGTACTGTGTTAAGTATTTACAGGTCAGGCTTCTAATTTAGTCTTCCTCACCCTTCCTCCTCCTCTGTATCCACTTGCAGCCTCTCTATTCCCTAGGCATTCCATTCAAACTATCCCATTCCCTCTGTCCTTGATATTAACTGCAGTTTCAGCAGGACCCAGCTGGACCAAGTAAACGTATTTATTTCCTGTATGAAAAAAGAGTGCTGTGGCTCTCTCATTTCCTTCCCGACAGCCATGGGAGGGGTCCTTGTAGGATTAAAATGAGGAAAAGAAGACACTAAGTGCTCTTTCTCCACGGAGGCTGAGTGGGTGTATCCAGTCAGGGATGCTTGTAGCACACCAGTGAGGTGGGTGCCTTGTCTTCTGCTTCTCATGTTCCTCTGCTTCATTTTGGAGAGCCGTGTTCCTCCTTGCAGGCTCACAAATCCACGTTGCATCGTTGTCTTTTTTCCAGGGTTTTGCCAGCTGTGGGATTTGGCAGTGTTTGGGTACCACCTTGCTGGGGCTCAGCCGGGTGGTTCTTAGGGTGCAGTAGTGGGGAGTGGAGCAAATTTCTCTGTGCTGACGTTCATATCCTCACTTGGAAGCTGGGCTTTGCAGCGCTGTGGGGCTGGGAAAAGCCAGGTTGGAAAAATGCTTTTGAGCTGGTGCCTGTGCTGAAGCTCCTGAAAGCCTGCCTTCATCAGCAGGGGAGTGACAAATTGTCCTGACACAACTGCGAGCGCCGATCCTGTCGGGGTGCGTGCGTGTGTGCCCGTACGGGCGCTGGGCATCGCTGTCTGAGATGGGTGCTGGGGTGTGCCCACCTCCAGCCTTCCAGACAAATCCCTTTTTGCTGGCAAAGCCTTGAAAATCGGATCATGAGGCAGGGTTTGAGGGGAAGTGCTCAGGGTGGCCGGTCCCTTTTTTTTTTTCCCCCAGTAGGAAGGTTATTCAAAAGCTGGAAGAAAGCTGAGGATTTGGGTTTGTCTTGAGCAGAATAATCTTATTTTCTCAGCCCAGCATGCTGATGAGGCTTGGCTGTGGTGTTGGTGTCCTTTGGGGAGTGATGCTAATTTAGCTGTAGGAATGCTCTGACACCTGATGAATGAGTCAAGAAGAACCAGGGCACTGGTTTCCACCTGGCTCCCAGTATTTTCCAGCTTGCTCAGCCTGCTGGTTGGTGAGGTCAGGCAGTTGTAGGTTAGCTCAGTGCTTCCTAGGCTGTGTGCTGGCTGTCCCCGGGTGTGGGGCTGGACTGAGAGGTGGAAACTTGCAGTGAAATGGCTTGGACTTGTGACAGTCTGATGCTGAGAGGGCGTGTGGTGTGTTGGGGCCGTTGCTGTTGGGGCTGCTGGAATGTGGCAGAAGGGATTAGCAGCATTTTAGGAGGGTTGTGGCTCTGAATGCAGGTAAAGCAGCCAGCCCTGAGCAACAGGGTCGAGGCTGGTGCTTTCTGGCTCGCTCTGAGCTCTGCAGACCTGTGAGTCTGTGGAAAGGCACTGAGAACAAAGCAGAATGAAGCTCTCTGGGTGTATTAAAATAGCCCAGACTGTTAAAACCCGAGGTGATCATTTCCCTTGTGTACCTGCCCTGCCAACAAGTGGAGGGGGAGCCCCAGCCCCAGCCTGGCTGTTCCCAGCCTGTGTTCAGAGGAGCAGCAGCTGATGCCTTGGGAGGAGGACAGCAGCTCTTGGAGGATCCCTCAGTGCTGCAGAGGCAGCAGAGCTGGGCTGGCTTTCTAGGTTTTTCTGCCAATCCAGCATAATCTCTTTCTGCCTCGGGAGTTTTGCTTGCTTAGCCGTGGTGTTCAGACTCCAGAGGGGGCCTGGATGGTGTCTGGGATCACCCCAAGGCCATGTCCTTGCAGCTGGGGGTGCCTCTCCATAAAGTGGTGGATCCTGGCAGGGCTCTTCCTGCCCGTGGAGATGGAAGAGGAAGGAGGTAATTGCAGAAG